ATCTCAATCGAACTTTATATGTGCAAATGGTGCGCATCTTAATTTCATATCAGAAATTTTCATTTGACAACAAATTCAGGTATATGGGCCGTGGTGCATGTATTTGCATACCTCGGCACACGGCACAGAGTGGGCAATTGTGGCTTTTGTGCCACATGCCACAGCACATGTGGCATAAGCCGCGGCGCACGGTGTAAATTTTTACTAAATTTTTAAGTGATGCATATGTTTTCTTGACCTTTAATGTACTAAGTCTAAATGCTTCCGCTGTGTATGTAATTGTATATAGGGTTGAATAACCCAAATGATTAAAAAAATATTTTCTAAAAATATTTTATTAGGATCCCAATGTTTTTATCATTTTTAACTCAATACTTGAAGTAATTAGTGATTTTTGATAGTGGAGCGTATGGTAATATCAGTGAGGGCATTACATTAAAAAAGCTATTCCAGATATTGACTATTATCTTCTCATTCCACCACAGAACCAAACCACCTCTAGTACCCCTTAGTTTAATATAAAATTATCTTGAAAACAACACTTTTTTCTCAATTTTTGCAACCTCTTACTATCTATTCTTGTTTCCATTAGAAATACCATGGAGGGTTTATTAATTATGCATTCCTCTTTCAGTTTTTTAACTATGAAGGCAACCCCCAAACCTTGATAGTTTCGAGATAGTAGACTCATGGCCCTTGGGTGGCTGTTAAAGGCCAACCACCATCACCTTGAGCCATGATCATGTCATTCTTATTAGCATCAAGTAAGATCTTATCATTTGGTTTCTTCTTTCAACCTCTACCCTTACCTTTACCACCATTTGATCCACTTCTAAATTGCTCTTTCATTGAATGCAGGCTATTAACAAAGTTAAAAAATAAAGCATCACTACTTACCAAATTGTTGGCAACTATTTCTTTTTACTGTTTAAGGGCTTAATCTCCTCATTAGTATCGCTTTTTAAGCCCATTCATTCTATACTCTCAGCAACTTCCAACAAATTCTACCTAGAAATAGGAATAACAGCTTAAGATGCCTTATCTACACTTGACATAAAGCCCTTTAAATTGTTCACATTATTACTCTCTTATTCTCATCTGATAATGATGTTATAAGGATTGACAACCTGCTTCTGATTACTAATCATTAGCTTTTCATCTCTTTAAATATATTTTTTAGGAAACAGGTCATATGTCTTTTTACTTGACTTTTTTTATACAAGCTCTATCTCCATTCTTCTGCTTTTGACTAAAGCTTCGCTTCCTCCTTTGTCCTACTTTTGGCCATCCCTCTCTTAACACTACCATAACCTCATCCCAATATCGAACATGATTTACCACTAGCTAAGTACCATATTGAGGAATAGATGGATTCGCTACAGATATCCATCTCTCCAATCTACAACCTCTTAAATCATGACCACTTTTTCCACATTGGTAACAAAAACTCTGCATATTTCATTGAGATCCACATCTTATCCTTATTTAGTTTTGGAAGCCAAAAACTAGCTACTAAAGGCTTCCTCAAATTCAAAATAACTCTAACACACAAGAATACACAAATCAATCTCATTGCACCACAAATCCTCTGCCATAACAACTTCCCCCACACGACCACAAATTTAAATAGCATTAGTCAAATCCATCTAGAATATTATGAATATGGATTCAAATTGAACAAGAATTGAAGTCTAGATCTTCAATAGCCTTAGAGATAGACCATTCCTGAATATAAATAATTGATCTTTAATTGACCACGATCATCCACTTAAGATGCAGTAATACTCCTCTTCCTCTGTAAATGTAAACACAAATGCATTGTGCTATAATCTAGAAATTACAAGACCTTCCTGGAGGTTCCAAGCCTTCCTTACCATTTGCTTAAAGGTAGGCTTATTAATTTCCATTTCTGAAAGTAATTTTCCAACTAGAACATTATGTCTATCATCCTTATAGACTATCAGATCATTGAGTACATTACTTAAATCCTTTTCAGTCTCTTCTCCTCTCATCACTTTGCACCTCCGAGCACCATATCACTATACATCCAATCACCATGCACTCACTCACCAAAACCCTTAGCTCTTACGTACACTATACGAAGAGAATCTAAGGCTCTCACTAAGAAGAGAGTCAATTAGGTTAATTCCAATTTTTTTTGCTTAACTTAAACAAAAATGGAATTTTTATTGCCTCATTACTATTTTGCTTAATTTCTCATGAGAGCAACATTGACACATTGATTTATTGCATATTAAGCTGTACATTTATGGTGAAAGATTTTGTGTGGATCAAGTGCAAACTTCAAAATGTACATAAAAAAGTTGTTTCAATTAGAAAAGATTTAACCTATAACTCATAAGGTCGAAGAATCAAACTCATTATTAATGTGAAAACCTTAGTGGATAATATGTAAATACCTTTATAAGTATTCTTTGAGCCTGTAGACATGTCTTGAAGGTGGTGAGTCCTAGAATCAAAATCACCTGAACCTTTTTTGTGTGAAAAAAATACAAAATGTGCATGTGTTCAAAACTGATCTGGTTGTTCAATGTCTGCTCTAGCTCACGGTTCAAAATCTGGTTTTATACTCAATTATATATAAAAAATAAATTGAAAGGATAGACTTCAGAATATATTATGTTTTTATATAATTATAGCGAGATAAAAATAAATTGAAGGGGAAAAATATTAACATATCTTAAGATTGGTAAAATTTATATTTTTATATTTATATTTTTTAAAATCAAATGATTTGGTAAAGTTTTTTATTTTTATATTTAAAAATAAAAATACATATTTTTTTAAAAATAAATAAAATCACTTGAAAAATCAACTATATAAAATAGAAAAATCATAAATAAAAAGGAATGCATCCCCATCTTTCATTTTTCTCATAGAAAAAATAGTGCAGTAAATACAGAAAATGTTGATGTAACGGTGAGAATGAGAAACTTGTGTCATTGACATTGTTTTCCATTCACAGAATAAGGATAATTAGGTATTTTTTTTCTCTTAAATCTTATTTGAAAAAATAAGGCCCAGTAAAATGATTTAATATTAGACAAGAATTTGAACATATCAAATACTTATTAAAATTTGAACTTTTACTTATCAATTATTAATGTTTACTTGTTATAAGTTCTTGTATAAAATTAAATCATTTTACAAATCCTTTATTAATACTTCTTGAATCAAAGACCTTGATCAATACCTATTTTGAACCAAAGCCTCTAATTTTTTAAAATATCATTGCAATTCAGGGTATTGATTTGATATTAAATTTTTTAAAAAAATAATAAAATTATCTCTTATTTAAATTAATATCAAAATTGCTTTACTTCACTTATTTATTTATTTACAAAATATTATTAATTGTCTTACTTCACATGATTTTATTCCAGGCATTTAAGTCATATTAATGGCCCATTTGAATTTCAATTGAGTATAATTAATTAATATGATTGATTTTAATTATAATTAATTATGTTATAAGATAATTTGTTTGTATAGTGATTTTTTGAAATTAATTTTATCTGTACAAATTATCATAAAGGATATTATTTTTTAAAATTAAATTATTGATAAAGTTATATTTAATATTATTAAATTTGTTAATATTTAACACTAAAATTGAATCTATAAGCAACTTCTTAGAGCTTTTTTTAAAACATTATTTTGGCTCAATAATTAATTTATCAAATCTTTTAGTTGTTTGGATAATTTTTTTCCAAAATCAATTATTTGGCACCAAAGATCGATTATATTTTTAATCCAAACAAGCTGTGATACAATTTATTAATTTTTATATTGTATATTGTTTATTTACTTATAGACTTTGTTTATTGCCTTACTTCTACTTTTATTTGATTTTATTTCAAGTATTTAAGTTATCTTAACGTAACTTGTTTGTTCATATATCTTATGCTATTCATTTACTTATGTAATTAATATTTTATAAATAAATGAACAAGTGAAATATAATAAAATTAATATTAATTTAAACATGGAACAATTTTGTCATTTATCTCAAAAATTTAATATCAAATTAAAACTTTTGGACTACAGTTGTATTTAAAAATTTAAGGGTTTTGATTTAAAATAAGTCTAGTTAAGAAATTTTTATTGATATTTTTCCTTTCAGATTCAATGACACTGACCAATGATTGGTGCTGGAAAGCACAGAAAAAATATTCTTGAGTGCAAGGAAAACACAAATTTGTGGTAATTATGGCCTTGCTTGATATAATAAAATTTTAAGTGTGAAAATAAAATCAAAGTTCTTGATATAAGTTTGTTTGATATTATAAATTTTGGATTCCTCTAAATCTCAATTCCAACATAATACACAGAATTTAATTCCATTTCATATTCCATGAAATTTATTCAATACTTTGGAATTCAAATTTAAAGATACTTTTACCTTCATCACAGTCAGTATCCTCCACCCTCATCGATCAACATTTGTTCCATCCTCATCCACCTCCAACTACCCGCCTTCAACTTCATTGTTAAACTCCAATCATCATTGCTGCTTTTGTTGCTGTGATGAACCAGCCAAAGGACATGTGATTTACGAAAAAAAAAAAAAAGAAAACGAGAAAGCAAAAAACAACAAAAGACAAGCCCGGTGGGATGATAGCGTGGAGGTTGCCCATGGCATCAAGTTGGACCGCGCTCTCATGGGGATTTTGTGGCTATCAATCATGCTCCAAAAAGCTCTCACCAATTTTTGCTGATTCAACCCATATTTTTGAAAGTTAAATATGGTGATTATGGCCATGTGAGAGATGAACATGAGAGAGATGATTTTTTTAAAAAAATATTTTGATATTTTTATATTTTATAAATATTTGAATATCTATTAAAATTAAATCAAAATTTCATTTATATATTTTTAAAATTTAATTTTAATTTTGATCTTTATTTCAATTTTAATTTCATTAAAAACCCTTCCACCTACAAGCAGGTCATATGTTTCATGTGTTTCATTTTACTTCGCCTTCTATTCTTTGTTTTTGTTTTTTCTTTGGCCAGAGAAATTCTCATCCTGGTACAATCAAATCAAATCAAATTTTCCATAAACTTGTAAATTTGTGACCTTCTCCAATCATAATTGCTTACTTCTCTTACTGCCTTCCCAATCGCTGATCGAATTTTCTGGTTTTTTACTTTTAGGTGAGATTTGGCTTGAATTCCAACTTCCGAATCCGTTCTCTCCGTCGTTTTGTCCCCCATAAAGGAGGTTCTTTGTTTTTACTATATTCCTTAACAGTTTCCAGTGTTTCGCAAACTTTGGGAATATCTATAGGTTGAAAAGATATGAATGATAAATCTTGGAATTGGGCTATAGGATTGGTATATATAGTATCTGTGGCAGCAATTTGGATTGCTGCTAGCTTCGTAGTTCAGTCTGTCGTAGACGCAGGGATATCACCCTTCCTTATCACATACATTTGCAATTCATTGTTTGTGCTGTACATTCCGATTGTTGAAATTGGACGATATTTGGAGGATTCTTATGGGAGTTTATGTTTTTGGAGGAGAGAGGAGGAAAGTAGCGATTTGGAAGTGATAGGGGAATCAGAGCAGGCTATTCTTCTCGAAGACAATGAGGCAAGTAACGAAGCTCGTTCGTCCTTGCCCGATGAAGAGCTTGTCAGTCAGAAGAGGATTAGTGGTGAAGAGACATCACCCTATAAAGGTAGTTTGACTGAGGAACTTAAAAATCAATCGGATGCAAAAGGGCGTTGGACTCGATACAGGATGGCTAAAGTCAGCCTATTGATATGCCCATTTTGGTTCCTTGCCCAACTCACTTTTAACCTCTCGCTGAAGTATACTACAGTTACAGTAAGTATCTCTAAATCAGGGATTTCACATCTTGTCTTTAGCTTCAAAATTCTCCTTCATTTAATTGTCTGGCTTAACTTCCTTTATGCAGTCAAATACTATCCTAAGCAGTGCATCCAGTCTCTTCACATTCTTGGTCTCTCTAGCATTTTTGGATGAGAAATTCACTTGGATAAAGCTCTTTAGTGTTCTTCTTTGCATGGGAGGAACAATAATTGTAAGTCTTGGTGATTCACAAAGTGGTTTAAGCACAATTGCTTCAAATCCTTTTCTTGGAGACATTCTTGCCCTTGTTTCAGCAGCTTTATATGCTGTTTATATCACCCTTATTCGCAAGAAAATGCCTGATGATGATGGAATGAACGGCCGTGCCAGCATGGCTGAGTTTCTTGGATATGTCGGGTTTTTCAATCTTTTTATTTTTCTTCCTGTTGCCCTCGTATTAAATTTCACCGAGGTGGAACCATTTCATTCACTCACCTGGAAGCACCTCGGCCTGATTATTGGCAAAGGTCTGTATTTATTGCTGCTGCTATTATGTTTTTTACTTTGAAATGTGGCTAATTTCTGTATCAGAGTTTTGTTTCTAAAGTTCAATTGGTTACTCTCCAAAAAACAAAAAGGTTCAATTGGTTACTTGTTATTTTCTAACTAAGAATATATGTTCTTATATATATATATATATATTTATATATATCTTTTACCTCTCTTAGAATGAGTACTCTTTTCTTTTTGCCTTTTTTTGTGATGTACTCATTTCTACGTCTATTATATGAAAAAGAAGACATACATTGACAGTTTTGGATTGCGCCAATGAGATGCTGTACTTCTGCTCTGCGTGTTTGACTTTTGAAGGGAAATAAATGTATAAACTGATACTTTGTTATTCTCAGTATTTGCTAAGTTCAGAAAGGAATCAGTGTGATGGGGCAATTATTGTCAATGGCATGAGAAAATGACTTTGAGACAAACTATTGAAGAATTGAATCTTTCAACGGGCCAGATAACAAAAAATTGTATCCTAGGAATTCACTGCCATTTGTAATATACAAACAAATATAGCAGAGAGCTGTGATAATTGATACACTATATGTAATTTTATAAATCGTGTTTGAATGGAATAACAGGTGCTGATATTAATGCAACTCCTTTTCTGGATGGATTCTTTGGTTTACAAAATTTTGGAATTTCAAACACACTTAGTTTCATGTTGCTGTTGTTGTTGTTTACTTTCATGTTGCTAATGCCAGAAAAATAGTCCAGGCTGCATTCTTGAGTCTTAAGAGTTTATAGGTCTTTTGATGGCTATAGAACTTGAAAAAGAACAATTGAATGAATCAATGAAAAGGTGTTAACAAATGTTCACGGGTGATCCATAGAACTTATTGCTACTTCCAGCCTAGGTGTCTGTATTGTTTAATGTCATCAAGACTATAAGTGGTGATGCGACATAATGGAGATCGTATAATTAAATCTTGTTTCAGCTCAAACTGATTTTTTTTTTTCTCTTTGACTTTTGTTACTATATGCTTAGACCTACCTTTTCGTCAGTGTTTGCTTTCAGGCATACCACTCAACTTTGCTAACTGCAGCTTAATTGTTAGGTGCTTCATCCTTTTTTTTTTTTTTTGTGGATAAAAATGAAACAAACAAAACAAAACAGCAAACAAAAATTAAAACGCCACCATGAATGAAGGAATAGAATCACCATCCATTTTATAATATCATACTTTATAAGTTCAGTCTGAAGGGATTTGATAATTAAACTAGATTCTTTCCCTTTTGTTTCAGTTGCTGAGGCTTAAGAACAAAGGTTGTGGTTAGAATTAGAATTAAGGCCTAAGACAATATTACTAGAAATCATTAATTATCTTACAAAACATACTTGAGCAATCAACTTAATTACAGCCTTAATTGGTTGGAAATATTCTAATGAAACTTGAATTGAAACGCAGTTTTGGCTCTCAAGTGACTCTTATGGGAAGAATGGTTTGATATGATTGATCTTGCCACTAAAACGTGGGAAGAATGATTTCTGGTAAATTCTATCTTGCTTTTTAGCTTTTAGAACTGAATTAATTTCATTTAGAGAAACCAAATTAATTTTACAGCCTTTCATTGGTTGGAAATACGCTGATGACAACTTGGATTTTGAAACATTTTTTGTTGTCAAGTGCCTATCATGGGAAAAATGGTTTAATATTTTTTGGTTTTTCCAGTAAACCTAAAATATATTCAATTTAGGGAGAATGGTTTCTTTTAAATTTTGTTGGAACTTAATTCATGTCAACTGGTGATAAAAATTTCAGAATTCTGTGAAGTTCAGAAACAGTGGCAAGATAAAAACAAATCAGCAACCTGTTCTGTTCTGTGCGCATTATTGCAATCCTTTTCAGCATCAGTGTAACCAAAAAAAAAAAAAAAGAGCTTTTCATTTTTGTCCGAGATATTGTAGAATTGTGGATGGGAAGTTTGAATGAACTGTAACAATGACAATGAGTTAGTAGAATATTGTGCAGAACTCGGCCCATAACCATGAGTGAAATTGGTGAACTTAAAATGCAGAACCATGTGCCTGTCCTTACCAAAAAGGAAAAGTGCAGAACCATGCATTACTTTGCCTTTGACATTCAAAGGAGAGGGAAAGCTAGGAAGCCAACTTCATTGTTACCTTCTGAGCATCTCGTTTATGAGTATTATTTTGCACGGATCTTTATTGTCGATAATTGATGAGTTTTTCCCCCTTGCTGGGTGTGTAACTGCAATTCTGTAGTGAAAGGAGTGAAGTCTAGGAAGCAAGCTGGTGGTTATGATTTTTCATTCCCGTTGAGAAAGTCTGATTTTAGATTGCATGTTGCGGTCAACGCTAGTGTTGATCTTTGTTAGAATTTCAACTTTCTTGAAGGATTTTGCACTATAATTTATAGCAAACACTTGATTGTTGATTGACTGAGCCATTATCTCAGTTAATTTTATGCCTAATTTTAACGAATTCTATGTTTATCACAGCTTCTGTAAATGTATTTAGGAAAATTCATAACCTATCTCTTGTGAAAATTTTAGGTGCATTGGCACCTGGAGGGCATTATAAACTGCTGTTAATCTTGAAAACTTAATTTGTGAAAGATGGAGCCTGTTTTAAGGGAATTGTTCCCATCCAGTCATCCTATTTTATATGATTTGTACATTACATAATTTATGAGTGATTTATCTTTGTAGGATTGCTGGATAACGTACTGAGTGATTACTTGTGGGCCAAGGCTGTTCTTCTAACATCAACGACAGTGGCTACTGCTGGACTTACGATTCAGGTGCCGTTAGCAGCCATCGTGGACAGTTTGACTGGCCATGCACCTGGCCAGCTGGATTGCCTCGGAGCAGTAGCTGTGATGATTGGCTTTGCCGGAATCAATATTCCCTCTGATGCTTTCAAAAGCTCAAGAGAAGCGAGCGTTGAGTTGGAAAACGATAGCGTGAATTCCACTGCTCTAGCCAACAACCAAAATTCAGTCGCCATGTCATAGCGGCTTTTACGTTGTACTGGTTACTACGGGTACGGTTCATTTTATTTACCGCGTCCGTCGGAGGGCGTATTTTTGCGACTGTTCCACATCAACTGCAGTAACTTAAACGTGTTACTGTATCTGTATCGTATTCAAACAAGAACATGAAAGTTTAAAAAAGGACTTCAGGTTTGCACCGGCAGATAAAAGTAAAATTGGCATTTTCATCCTTGAAAAGTTGAAATACTAGGCCACTTATTCAACTTCAATCCAAAAATAAATAAATAAATACATGAATTACTTACTGAAATAATGACGTGAATTTGACTTGTTGTAATGAGTTTAATATGAATTTATGATCAAAGAGGAATGGGTGCATTTACTTATTTTGCGAATTAAATCCAAATTGATATACTATTTCAAGGATTAAATTGATATTTTTCTTTTTATTTTATTTTTTGGCCAGCAATTGACATTTTAAAAGGCAGAATGTGAAATTCTGTTAACTTGCTTAACAGAAGATCGCGCCATTGGGCATTGATTGTTGGTTCTTTTCACCGGTTTGCATGGATTACTTGGTGCATGTTTGGATGACAAAATTAATCAATTTTAAAAGTGAAAAATCATGATTTTGTGAAAATATATCCTAATATTTTTATTACATATCAAAATTAGTTATGAATCAAAATTATAATTTTCTTAAAAATATTCAAATGCCTATTATATATGTTTAAATCAATTATAAACTCAAAATCATGATTACTTAAAAAATATTCAAGTATCCATCTTTATATATGTTAAAATTAATTATGAACTTATTATAAACTAAAGAAAGATATAGAAGAAGAGAAGAGAAACATTAGAGGTAGAGAAAATTTAGAGAGTGAAAGAAGAGATAATTCTTATTTTAGTGTGTTAAATGCAACTGAGATATCTCCTATTTATAGGTATAGATGCAACCAACTACAATAAATAAAATACATAAAATACTAATAACTAAAAGATATTGTAATAACCTAAATATATTGGAGTAATTGAAAGATATGGATATCTACATAATACCAATGGGTCTACCATACTTCAAGCAGGCCTTGGACCCATTCATAGTGATTGATTGTCCTACAGGGATGTCAATCTTGATCGAAGCATTAGCAGTTGGAATATATGATTTAGTCACTCTTTTTCAGACTTTTTGGGTTAGCAAATGTGTTTGATGATTGATTTGCTAAACTTTGTAATTGATTATCTGTTGAACTTCTTGTTCATATTGTTTTGTACAAGGATCTAAAGAAGATAATGATAATTCATTCCAACTGCAATTTTTCTCTCCCCCAATGTTGGAAAAAATGATTTATCAAAATGACAATCAGCAAAATGCGCTATAAATAAATCTATGGTTAATTGTTTGAGATATCTTATTATTGGTAGAGATTCACATTCAACATATTTTCCTAACCTTATTTGAGGTCTCATCTTTGTGCATTGTGTTGGAGCAACTGGAACATAAATCACACTACCAAAAACTTTAAGATGGGAAGTGTTAGGCTCTCAATCGAAAATCATTTGCAAAGGGGAAGGATATTGATATCCTATTGACCTAATGAGAATTAATGTGCAACATGCGTGATTGCATGCCCTCAAGTAGATATTAAGAGTTTTGATCGCAACAGCAATGGTCTTGCAATCAATTTTAAATATTTAATGTAACATCTTGAAATTAATTTAAAGGTTAAATTAGTTAATTAAGTGGTTTAATTAAGTAATTGGTGCAATTAGGAGTTATTACAAAGGTTTAGATAGCCATTTAGGCCTATTAGACCCTTTAATGGGTTTAGAATAGGATTTTAAAGGCTATTGGGCAGAGTTGGGCCTAGAATTATGGGCTTATGTGATCCTGTTTGTTTTGGGCAATTTGCCGTGATGGATGGTGCATTGCAACTACAATAGAATTGCATATGTTGAATTGAACTTGCATGAGCATAAGGCTATATTAGTAAAATTCACGTAGTGTGGCCTTTATTGAGTTTGTGTACGATGGTTAGCATAAGTCATTACTAATATGCTTAGTATTACCAATAACCTAAGGGTGTGGTATAGGTTAAGCACGATGCTCAATGTCACCAATCCTGGATTGAATGGTGTGGGTTGAGCACTTCTAACACCTTAAAATTCGAGTAAGGGGAACTTATGATCAAGGAGTGAGTGTAGGAGCCCCCTCACAATTGAAGAGTGAGGCTAGTTCAGTCACATTAATTATAATTATGAGTTAGTAGCTTATGGGTTTGGTCAGAGGATATAATGAGAGATATAAGGTAGTTGCATTAATATTTGAATATGTTTGGTTGTATAATAAATTGAGTTATAGGTTATCAAATATCTTTATGATTATCACTACCACACTTAAATATGTTTTGATTATATTCTTAGTTACTTAAATTGGTTAATCTCACTCTTGTTACTTAATATTTCTAGAGACAATAGGGTTAAGGGAAAAAGGGAGGCATCGATGCCAAAGAACTAGAGCTTCACTTGTAGAGTCTTTAGTTCCTAATTATATGTAATTGGAACTATGTTTTGCCAACACTAGGACTATTGTATTCATTTATATATGTATGTGTTGAATTATAAATCATTTTCATGTAAGCCCTAATTGTAGACTCAACAATTCTAGTGAGTAGCCTACATTTTGAGGAAAGGCTTATTATGTAAATTTGTAGATAACTATGGTTAATGTTTGCTTATACCTTGGCATATTTATATAATGAAAGTGTATGCATAATTGTCCTTGTAATTGATTCAACATTTCAAGTTGACATGAGAGGGGAGACACTCATATAAGTGCATGGGGCTTAATTGCTAACATCGACACTTAGTGTTTTAGGATCTTCATTTTGTATCACATTAAGTTGTAAATGGTACCATCTATTAATCTCCTAATTATCTACGTGTGGACACTTGGATCACCTAAATCAAAGGTCTAAGTGATTAATTATGTGTGGTTGAAATTTGAATTCCATATGTTGTCTATTGTGTTGATATAAGAGGTTTTGCTACAACGGATAGGTGTTTAGTTGCAGTGGATGAGTCAATTTTGGTTGGTAGTGGCAAAAAGTTGTTTAGCCACAATGGTTTGCCTTCGTGCATGAGACCGCAGTGGATGGACTCCCAGCCATGATGGATGTGCATAGACTTGCCTTAAATGACTGTTTTACTATTGTGTGATTATTTTTCTCAATGATATTCCATTTTTTATATTTTCAATAACTTTTACAGTCTAATGTTTTAAAGAAATGCTTTATATGAATTTCAAATATTTTTGGGATCCCATTTTCAAGATTGATCTTTATTATTATAGTTAAAGCCATGGTTGATCCTTATCTTTAAGGGTTATTAGTTGAATGAGTTTAATTTGGATTAATGACGAAAATCATTACATTTAATAAATGATTTTGCAAGTTCATTTTGTGTATGAACATGTGTTACAAGATGCTCGATTTCAATTCCAATGGACATACAATAGTCATTAAAAGCTTGAGATATAACCTTACCAACATTATGAAGGCGTATTTTCTTAACTGAATAATCAAGAAAATGAGCTCTTAGTCAAATTAATTGAGCTAGCAATCTTACAAATGCTTGGTTGCGAGTTGATAGTAAGCAAACATTTGACCATTTGGTTTATGCATTGATCAAAACTATAAAGTATCTAAATGGTCCACGTGGTGAGTGAATTCGCCCACAAATATCGCTTTATATGTACTTTAAAAAGTTTACCAATTCACTCCTAATTTTGGTTGTGATGGTCAAATAATTCGATTGAAGAATGTTATGGCTCTTCAGGTTATGTCCACACGTGTTTTCTATTACTTTTCACATCATGATTGATTTGAGATGGCCCAACTAGTCATACCAAACAAGAAACATGTGATTTGTAAAATTTTGGTTTACAATAGCATGTGATTTCAATTGTACTAATATATATGTAGTACAATCCAAAACAAAATGCAAGTGGTCTTCCTAATATACATTTTTCATTAATGAGAATGATGTAAAGATATTCAACATCCTTATCATTCATTGTCTTAATTTGATATCCTTTTTTTTTGGAATATCTTTAAAGCTTAATAAATTCTTGAGACTTAAAGGAATATAATGCATTTTCAATATGTAAATTTGTTCCTCTTGGTAATACTATACTAGCTTTTCCAAAGCCTTCAATTAATTTTGTACTACCAAATCTAGTAATAATATAGGGAGAATTAGTAAAAAGAACCAGGTTAGGAAGGAAATTGTGCTCAAGGACCACATGAAAGTTAAGGACCAAACTTATTATAATATTAAAAAAAGGATGCAATGAATGGACTAAAATGCCCCTTACCCATTCAACATTCTTAAAAGAGAAAAGTTAGTAAAGATGTCTTCCTTTGATACCTTCATCATCGACGATGAGGAGTTGAATGTCAACTCTTCTTCCACTCATCCCTTCAACGATCACCACAAAGATGACTTCTACTCTGGCTACAACAGTGGCTACTCTAGCTTCTCTAACGGATTTCCCATCGAGAGTAATGTCGTTGTTGACCATATTACCACTGAGTCATCAGAAATCTTCACGTTTAGTAATCCAGATCTAAATTCTCAATCTCCCTTCAAATTAATCCACGTGGAGAATGTAATGAAAACAAAAGCCGATACAGTGACGGTGCTTTATCTCAGATAGGCTAGTGCTTTCCCCATTCTATTTCACTATATTCTTCTTTTGACTACCATTGATCGTGTTTTCTACCAATTCAACATCTCTTCTTCATCACTAACCTTCATTTATTGTTGAGCTTTTGTAGGATAGGTTCTTTTCAAAGTTGGAAACTTCTCTCTAATGCTTTGTTGATTCTTTATCTCATTTCGATTTCATAGACTCCAATTTTGATGCCAAGGTTTTCTAGAAGAATCTAACTAGGAGTAAGAACTATAATCGAAATGAGTTTGGGCACAAGGAAGCAACACTAAAACTTATGAGTCATAAATATACCAATATGTTTCATGAGATGGAATTCAATATGTTTGTGATTTATTGTTCCCATATAATTAGTTGTAAATGTCCCACTAAATAAATGTTTAATCCCAAAATAAGCCATTTTCATCAAAATTGAGAACATCGTTAAAAGGTATTGCTATTATGTTTGCTTGCATACTTGTATTATATGGATGAGGAGTAGTTTATTG